CTGGCCCTGCATAGCGCCACACGTCATTCTTATAGGTAGAGTTGAAGCCTGCATAAACAATCATAGACCGAGAAAATATGTCCCAAACCGCAGAGTGATCCTCCCGGCCTTCAGGACTTGGATACGGGCCAGGGGGTGCAAGCTGTGACCAGGAATCAGTGACCAGGCTGTAATTCCACAAGTCTCCAGCGTAGCTGAAGGACTCGTTGTTGTAGGCTATGCCCCCGAAAACAAGCATGGACACAGACACGGAATCAAGAACCTGAGTTGGCATATCCATGGGTTGCCAATACCATGACAGGGAAACCGTCTCATTAAATACATGTCCATACCATAGCCTCTTAACAGCCTTAACTAGAGTTCCTTGATGGCAGCCCAGAAGCAGCTGTATGACCGGCTCTCGCAGCAAGGCCTGGGGGACTTTGTAGCAGTGTCCATACACGAGTCCATAAAGAGCAATGCCACGGGTCATGTAGAGGCACCGACCCTGACCATCCACCAAAGATGATCATGGATTGTGAAATTGAATCAAGGATTGCGCTGTGCCGGCTTCTCGCTGGTGGCCGGGTTTCTGAGAGCAGCTCCGTCCACAAGCCGGCTCGCCAGCTGAAGCGCCAAAGATCGTTCTGGTTCGCTGCGGAGCTGCCAGCAAAGACTAGCATCGCCTCACTCTCGCCTGGATCATGCCGGTCATGCTTTGAGAGATTTGGTATTGATTGCCCTTTTTGTGGCCTTAAAACAGAAAGGTTGCCCCAACTGCTATCTAGTCTCCATCCCAAACTGCTGAGTGCGACGCTCGAGCAGCTGGAGCAATGTCCGACGGCAAATGTTGCCAGGAATTGGAGGGAAGACTGAAGGCCCAGAGATCATCATAGAGGATGTCGCGGCTGCGCCCTCCAAAGACCAAAAGCGAGTCCAAAGCCGCATGCCACACGGCTGAGTGCCCAGCTCTGGCAACTGGTCCATGCATGGATGAAAGTTGCACCCATAGCCTGTCACGCAGGTTATACAGCCAGAGGTCAGCGAAGAGTTGGAAGAGACTTGCCTGACCAGCAAAGGCCATCATTGATCCGTTTTGTTCGGCAA